AAGACCAAGCAGTTTAGGGTTTAGGGTTTAGGGTTTAGGGTTTACTTCCTATATAAACCTATACATACATATATGGTAGTTTCCCTAAATTACTGTTCCCAAAATGGGGGAAATTTATATAGGGCCCCGTATTATATTGGGAACCCAAGTATAGGACCCCGTATTATAGGGAATTTAGACCAATACCCATATAATGTATAGTAGATTCCCCCTAACCCTAAACCCTGTCTATAGTAGCTTCAATTTCATGCTCCATGTGATTTTCCATTTGGTTCTGCATTATTGGAGGTAATATCCCTATATATCCCTATATACCCCTTCAAAAGGACAGGGGTTTCCATTAACCCTAAACCCCTAAACCCAGAACCCCTAAACCCTATTTCATTTTCCATGCGATTCTCCATTATTGGGGATGATGTTCGGGATCAGGGTTTACAGACAAGTCGAGGTTTGGGACCTTCGAGTTCTTAAGTTTAGGGTTTAGGGTTTAGAATTTAGGGTTAGGGTTTAGGGTTTAGGGTTTAAGGTTTAGGATTTAGGGCTTAGGATTTAGGGTTTAGGGAACGTTAAAATTCCAGGGGTTTTGCATTGGGCAGGTAAGGGTTGGGTAATGCAAGGTGCATGGGCTGGTGGGGGCTTGACCAGTTGAGGCATTTCGTCTTTAGCAGGGCTTAAGGTTGAAGAAGGGTTTAGGGTTTACGGGTTTAAGGGTTCAAGGGTTTGAGGCTTTAAGGGTTTAAGGGTTCAAGGGTTCAGGGCTTGAGAGGGCTTAGGGCTCCACACGAGGCTGCCTATATGGGCAATTGCCTGATGAGCTGACAGCTACTCAGACCAAGCCATTGCCAAGTCAACCCTACGAGAGGGAAGGCCGTAGGATCTTGTAGCGAGGGGTCAGAGAGGGACGCTATGGTGCTACGGCAAACGGAAAACTTACAAGAGCTGCGGAGAAAGACTCAACTCCAGATGCAGAAGAGTAGAAGATTGCGGATACAGCTACCACAGCAGAGTCATGTCTTGCTTCTACTGCTACTCTTCTACTACTAGACTTTATGTCATACTTCACACCTTGAAACTCCAAACCCCAGATTTTAATCCCAGATCTCTAAATCCCAATCCCCCTAACTGGTGAACCCGAATGCCTAAAACCTAATCCCTGAATCCTAATCCCTAAACCCAAAATCACGCGCCTAGGACCAATCCCTCGGACTTCACGATGCCATCCTTTCCGGGCATTGCGCGCATGCCGATCTTCACGGTCTTCTGCAGCATCTGAGCAGGATTCTCAAGGCCTTCCGTAGCTGTATATTGGGGTTGTATTGGGATAATGGGAAGAAAAATGGAAACTACTATAATATGTAGGGTTATAGGTCCCCATTATAAGGATTATAGTATTTGGGGGTCTATATTGGGGTCCCCTTATTTTGGGAAAGTACCACTTGATCTGTTCAGAAACTTTTTGAAGATGGCCACATTCAGTCTATCAGTTCTACACGAACATTCTTACATGCTACTTACTGGCTTCACACGTAGGTTACAAAGGAGCTTATACGTCTCCTACTCCAGATTAATTTGCTTCTCAGCCCCCTTATACCCGACTTACTCGGTCCCCTGAGCAACTCAGCTTAGGGCTTAGGGTTTAAGGTTTAGGGTGTAGTATTCAACAACAGTCCAGTATTGAGGTAGGTGCTCTGAAGGTTTGGGGTCCAGGGACCTGGACAACAAGCATGGAACCTGCAAAAGGGATCTTGTCGGACTATGGACGCGGTTTCGGGTGCAGGGTTTGGGCTAAGGGTTAGGGTTTAGGGTCTAGGGCCTAGGGTTCGGGGTGTAGGGCTTGGGCTTAGCGTTTAGGGTTTGGGCTGTAGAGTGTGGAGTTTAGGGCTTAGGCGTCTAGGGTTTCTGATCTGGTTCCAGGCACTGAAAGCATTGATTTAAGCTTTCAGCGTTGCGGAAGCAGGTTAGAAGGTAGGATTAGGGTTATTTGGGGTTTGATTGGGGTTATATTAGGGTTATATTGGGGTTATGTTGGGGTTGTATTAGGGTTTTAGGGTTTAAGTTTTAGGCTGCACGCGGTCTCGAAACGCCCACGCTAAGCCATGCGACCTTAGCTAAGGAAATACAATTCGAGGACGGGATCCGCGCTTAGGCCAAAATTGTGACGAATCCCCTCCCCTTACTATTAAACCCCCCCACCTACCTAATATTCAATACTCCCAATATAATATGATTTACCATATTATGGGGAGCATTTCCTATTTTGGGGTGGAAGGGGGGTGCCGGGGTGTAATATTCGGGGGAGGGGATTAGCTCATTACAGCAGTGAGGCATTTTGACCTAAGAATGACAGCCCTAAACCCTAACCTCAAATCCCATTATGGTAGCGAAGTATTTTGCCCTAAGACTGACAGCGAGGCTGATTTGAATAAGGATTCGTTGCCCTACACTTGACTCGTGAATCTTTCAGCCCAAAACCCTACATCCCAGGGGCTTAATTAGGGTTTAGGGTTTAGGATTTAGGGTTCAAGGGTCTAGGATTTAGGGTTCGGGGTCAATCTAGGGTTTATGGCTATCCAAATCTTGAATCCCAAGCTTAACTCCTAAACTCCTCAAGCTTTCAGAAGCGCAGGGCCCGCGATATAGGGTCACACATCAAAGCCACATGCGTAGGTTTTTTTGCATTGTTTGCATTAAGCACGGTTATTATCTTCCACCACAGGGAGAATGTAATCTTGGTCTTTGCTGAAGACTATTTCCACTTCATGTGCAGTGGTCCCTGGGTGAAGTTACCTAATAATGTATCATCACAGCTTAAGGTTTTGGGGCTTATGGTTTCGGGTTGTAGTATGCTGTCGTGACGTATGCCCTTTGCCTACCCCGATTTATTGGAATTCTATAGCTCCAAGGGCCCCAACACATCACTGGCAAGTGGACATTTCTCAAACTTAAGCTCCACTGCAAAAAACATCCCCAATCCAGCAAGGGGGTTGTCAGGCAACTATAACTTTGAGAACGTACCCATATGTTGCTTTTGAAAATCGATATCCCTGTAGAATGCATTTCTATCCAAAAACCCGTGGACCAGATTCAGCAACCCCAATTTGAGCGCCAGACCCAGCCGTGGTACTGCATCAGAGTCTGCTTGTAGGCCTTCGGGTTCAGGTGCAGGGTTTGGGGGTTTACGCTTTAGGCTTTAGGGTTCAGGGACGTGTTTGAAGGCTCTTGCGTTTAGGGTTCAACGGGCTTCGGTTGTTTTGCAAGGCTTTGTGGGCAAAGTTCAGGGTTTCATGTGGCCTCATTACGGTAGGTTGTAAGGCTCTTCGGGTTCTGGATTGACCAGATGTACAAATGATTGATGTATATGAGGAATTCCAAGACACAGTCGTCCCTTTTGGTGGGCCCCTGAAGTAAGGGAAAATATGTGTACATACATACATATGTATATATATATAATAGGATAGGACCCCATTTTCGGAAACACGCATACCAAATGCTGGGGGAACCTTTTTGGAACTCCCTTTCTGAGGATTACATTTTGTTGGATTTACGGTGGGACCCAATTTTCATGGAAGCCCCGTATGGTACTTCATCCAATTCCTGCTCCCAAAGGGCCGTTGTGGAAAATAATGTTCACCGGTCCTTCTGGGCCTGCAAGAACCTCAATAACTTCTCCAAAGGACCCTTAACCTCGCACTCCGTAACACAAACCTACCCCAAACCCTGAACCCTAAACCTTAAACCCGAAACCTGCGACCCTCGACCCCAAACCCTAGACTTATGAGAATCTTGCCTTTACAGCTTGGTGGATGGCAAAGAATTATATACTTGTCATTTTTTTGTCATTTCTATCCTGTTCCTGTCATTTTCTTGTCATTCTGCTCTGCGGCTGTCATTCCTCCAGTCATTTTTGTGTCATTCTGTGATAGCTCTGCATTCTTCCGTTCTCTGCTGCTTTCAGTTTATCGGGCGTGNNATGTGTTGCAAGGCTTTGGGGGGGCAAGCAACTCAAAGATGAGGGCCCGGGCATTGGGGCGCGGCGGGCTGCTGGAGCCGGGGCCGGTCAAATGCGGCGGGTGCGGACTGGAGGTGGGCGGTGTGGCCGCGGGGCTGGCCGGGGGCCGGGGCTGGACGAGCCGCGGCCGGGGAGGCCGGTCCGGGGCCGGCTGTCTGAAAACCCGAGAATTTGTCATCTTGTTGTCATTGTTTTGTCATTTCCCGATTTGTTGTCATTTTTTGTCATTTGTTTGTCATTTCCCGATTTTTTGGCATGTTTTGTCATTTCTTGACTTTTTTAAAAAATCATTTTTGGCATTTCCCGAAACCTCTGTCATTTTGTGTGTCATGTTTTTTGTCGTTTTTTGTCTTTTTTTGTCATGTCCCGAAACCTCTGTCATTTTTTGTCATTGGGGCAATCATTTTTTGTCATTTCCCGAAACCTCTGGCATGTTTCTGTCATTGGGGCAGTCATGTTTTTTTCAGGTCCGGAATCTCTGTCATCTTTTTTGCCATTTTTGTGTCATTTCCCGCACCTCTGTCATGTTGTCAGTCATTTTTTTGGTCAGTCCCCTGCCCGGACCTTGGCTGTGTCAATATGTGAGAATCCCAGGCCAAACTATTCAACGACCATGCTTGCTTCTGGAAGGCTCCAGGAACCATGACAATGTAAATCAAGGTACTGTTGTAATGAGTCCCCAGACTGAAATGACAAGTGCAATGACAAAAAATGACTCACCAAATCTATAGGGTTAGCCAAGTGACAAAAAAAATGACAAAAAAAAATGACAAAAACATGACAAATCCAAACACCCGTAAAATGACAAAAAAAAGACAAATAAATGACAAAATACTTATTTCAAGATTTCCAACCTCTAAAGCCCAGAGATTCTTATAACCCTAGACCAACATAAACCTTACCACCTGAACCCAAAACGTTGAACCCCAAACCGCAAAGAGTGAATCCTTCACCCTAGACCCTCGACCCAAAACCCACAACCCTAAACCCCAAACCCAGTGACCCCAATACGCCTTCATTAGGTCATATACTCAAACCATACTAGAATCCGCCCAATAACGTCGGCGCCTTCCTTCAGGAAAGGATGTTTCTGCCCCGGGGAATGCAAGCCAACACCCTAAACCCTACACCTCAAACCCTAGACCCTAAATCCCTAAACCTAAACCCCTAAACCCTACCCAGAAACCTGAAACCTAAACCTGGAAACCGAAAACCCAAAACCTCAAAAAGCGTGGGCCCCAAAGCCTAGGGTCTTGGGATTTGGTTGTAAGGTTTAGGGTTCTGGGAGTTTTCAGGGTTTAGGGCTCAGGGTTTAGGGTTTAGGGCTGAGAGTTTCGGATTTGGGGTTTGGGGTTTAGGGTTCACGGTAAGGGTTTAGCCTAAGCCCCAAAAAGTCTAAACCCCAAACCCCAAGCCCTACACCTTGTGTAGTTTCCCTACCCCATTAGCATTTGACTATTATCCTGTCACTGGGAGATGGCAGTACCCAACCTGCACCCCATACACAAAACCCCCTACACCAACCCTAAACCCTAGACCCCCTCCCCCCCCCACACACCAAGCAAATGCTCCAGCCTCGACGCCTGCGCCGCCGCCCTCCTGGGTGAACATCAGCTTGATCATGGTCAGGAAGAACTCCACACCCCTTCAAGGGGGATGGGGATGGCTAATTGGGTTTCGGGTTTCAAGGCTTAGGGTTTAGGGATTAGGGTTTAGGGTTCCAAGGTTTGGGGTGTACGGTTTAGAGTTTAGGGATTAGGGTTTAGGGTTGGGGTTTAAGGCTTAGGGTTGAGGGTCAGTGGAAGAAGTCCACACGCCTGGAAACCAAGGCAGACCCTTTGCAGGGATTATAGGCCTAGGGTTTGAGGTCTAGGATTTAGGTCTTCGGGTTGGGTGGTTGGAGTCCATGTTTTGGTGTGCAGGGTCCATGGGGTGTTCAACTTCCCAAGTTCGATCTGTGATTCAGAAGGAAGTACTGTCTCTGATGCCTTTCCCGACCAAGTCCCTTGAATATCCCTCTATCACGCCATTTCAATCCCTATAAATCCTTCTATAATCACTATATGGTCCCTAAAGAATCCCAAGCTATCCCGAGATAATTCCTATATGTCCCTATAAGAGTGGGGCTTTAGTCTCGGGATCTTCACTGCTCTGGCAGGCCTCAGAAGCCAGGTCACGCCCTCCACGTTTTTGGCCGTTTTCCTGGGTTGCGGGACTTTCGGGGCTCAGGGGTTAAGAGGGTTGAAGGGCTGAAAGGGTTGTAGCTCATGTGACTTATGCCTTCCATGATTGAAGCAAATGAGGGCTCGAAGTCTAAGGTTAAAACAATCATCTTAGGGTTTGAGGTCTAGGAGTGAAGTACTATACCCAAACAGAGGATACAATCTTAGTCTCTATTGAGACCATCATATCCCCAGTTGAAATTCGGCAGGTGGTTCGACAGCCGACAGCAGCTGTTCACAAAAAGAAAGATAGACCTAGCTACTGCCCTCGGGACAGGATCCCAAATCCTTAACACAAGACCTTCCACAACAGCTCAACTGTCAAGCCCCAATCCCTGTCCCTAAACTTTAACCCTAAACCCTAAACGCTAGAACTTGGTGCGGAATCCCTGGGGCCCAGGCAGGTAGCCAGAGAAAGTATTGCACTCTTCGGGCTTCTGATCATAGACCACCTGGTGAAAATTATGTTTAGGGTCTAGGGTCTAGGGTGCATGCGTAATCTTGACAATGGTTCAATGAAGTACGGTCGGATCACCAAAGGATCGCTCCTCAAGCTTTGCACGAGACTGACAAGCGAAAGAAGATGGAATAAATGGCTGCCTCCCCCACCGAATTATCATGGAATCCCATCTAGAGACTGCTGCTTGACGGACTAATCCTCAAAAAGGTTCAGTAACGTAGCCCCACAAACCCAAAACTTTCCATAAATGCTATAACCTATGCCATAAGCCCTACAGACCGTGAATCTTAATGCTAAACCTTAAACTCTACACCGTGATTAGGGTTTCTGACCCAGGGTTGGCGCTTACAGTAAACCCTCGGCTCAAAAGTTCAAGGTGTGGGGCTTAGACGTTCGACTCTTCAGATTTATGTATATCTATACATATATATATATATAGTTCTTTACTGATGTGTAGGAGAGGTGTGAGGTTCCAGGTTTAGGGCATCAACATTAAGGTCCCAACTAGTTAGAGTAGGGCTTAGAGTTTAGGTTTGAAGCTTGGACGGGTTCGGGGCTTAGTGCCAAATTCAAAATCATGACGGAACAAAGTGAAGAATGACATGAAAAATATGCTTATGTAGGGCTTTACAGGTATTATACGTAACGGCCTGAAGGATTAGAATATGGGACCCCTGTGGTAGATATGATGCTAGACTCAATATATTCCACACTGTCTATATAGATACCCCCTAACCTTACTTCAGTCCGTAGCTCGCGTGTATTGAAACAGGCTGTAGGTAGGAATCCCCTTCGGCAACTAGGTAGAGATCTTAAGAAAATCACATATCACAACAGCATTACGCGAACGACAATTGTTTACTCTAAGTGGTGTTGTAAGTCCTGCAATTCAGTTGTAGCTATGAAACTTTAAGTATGCTAACGATGTAGGCATCCCTTTTACTAGTACACGTAGAAGTAGTATACTTACTTTGATTTTGGGGACCTTGGTGTACTTCTGCCACACTTCATGGGACAAGTCTACAGCACAGTCTAAAAAAAAGCTGCTATGGTTGAAACCAGCCAGATCGGGCTAGAGGTTTAGGGTTTAAGGTTTAGGGGCTTCTGAAAGTCAATTTGTTGAGCCCAGGTGTTACAGGGACTGTTGGTAAGACTAACTCCTTTCCGGTGAATACACTACATCCGCCACTCCCTAGCCTTAAATCCTCCCTATGAGGGACCACATAAATTGTGGAACACATGCAGCATTAGGGGGCGGGGGGAGCTAAATGGGAGTGTCCATAAATGGGAAGATCCCAATTCGGACCATCAAAAAAGGAACCCCCTAGTTTTCTGAATCCCACATGAAAGGAAAGGAATACTTCGACTGAGTCGAAAATCCTATAAGCCCTGTTCCCTGGTACCCCGGAACCCTGAATCCCGAACCCCATGAAAGTAAATCCTACACCCTAAACCCAGAAACCCTAAACCGTAAAACCTTATACTTATATCCTAAACCCTAAAATTTTAAATCCTACACCCTAAACCTGAAGCCCTCAGCCCGGCCGTGGCTTTCTTGAGGTTGCCCTCGATATCTTTCAAGATGAAGCCAGCTGCTGAACCAAGCTTGGACAGCATGTCGCCTTGGCTTCGCGCTGTTTTTTGGCCTTGCCTTACACAATTTGTGTCTATCTGGGCTTGAGGGTTTAGTTTAGGATTTAGGGTTGGGGAGGTAGAATTTAAGGTTTGGGATTTAGGGTTTACGGCTTAGGATGGAAGGCGAAGGGTTATGGATGGAACCGTTCGGACGTGTTTCTTACAAGTATGCTACGGGGCCGTCTGGCCACCATGGTTTAGGGCCAAGGGTTTAAGATTTAGGGTTCAGAGCTTCGGTGTCAAAGAGAAAATACCGACGGTTGCTGGCGTCACTGAAAAGTGCGAGACCTTCCCTATGGCGACGACCATATAATCTATCATAGCCCAGCACCACATGATGATTTTGTGCACCTTTTTATTAGACAAATCATGATAGCTCTCTCCAGCCCCCTCCAATGCTCATACTCATACTGGCCATCAACATTTCCATTATCCCTATATAACCCCAATATACTGTATGTAGTTGCCATTTTCTTTTCCAATATCCCTATATAACTAGCATTCAAAAATTCTGTTCGCATGCCTGCTGCAAGGCTCATGCAAGGAACTGACATCATCCCAAGAATACACGGTTTTGGGGGTGTAGGGGTTTAGGGGTTTAGGGCCTGGCAAAGGCCATTTCTGTCCTACCGATTTCGCTGTGCATGCCAGCATTCATTGACACGTCAACTTAGGGCGTGCCATGTTTAAGCCTCTAGTTTGCAAGAAATTCCCGATTCTGCTTCAGGCACTCGAAGTTGCCTCGCGATGCCAGCGCAAAGAGAACTGAAACCCTCATGCCCAGAGAACAAGCACGTGAAAATGCCTGACGTCAAAACGAGAAGCATAGACTTACATATAAGGTACAAGAACTGCATAAACATGTTTGCTACTACCCCTCCCCCCGAGGATGTGACCTAGGCAGGCAAAAAGGCTTATTTAGGTAGGTTTAGGGTTTAGGGTTTAGGGTCTAGGGTTGGTTTAGGGCTTAGGGTTTAGGGTTTAGGGTTCATCATGTGAGCTATGGTCTAAACTCCAAGTCTCCCCCTTAATAACCCCTTCAATAAGCTCCCCTATATATACCCTTATATACCCCCTTTAAGGAGTTTGGACTATAGCTCATGTAGTCAGGTTTAAAGGCTTGGGGCTTAACAACATTCCGCACTATGCCCATCCTAAACTCTCCACACAGCCCTTCCAGGAACTCCCCACTTAAACTCAAACTCTAGATCCCTGGACCCCGAAACTCCCCCAGTGCTGGAGGCTAAACTCTAAAGCCCTGCCTCCAACTCTAGGATCCAAAATGGTTTAGGGTTTGGGGCTTAAAGTTGAAGATTTAGAGTTTAGGGTTTAGAAAGCAATGATAGATAATCCATTGGAAGCAAAAATGGAACACAAAGTTGAAACCGAGGCTGTACAAACATTTATAGCAACCCTACAGTAATCTCTAAGTCCTCAAAACGTCGAAGAAATATCGACCAGGTACGGTAGAGGTCGCAGGCCTGGCAATGATTCCAATGTTTAAGGATTTGGGCCTAAGTATTAGGGATTTGGGTTTAGGGTGTTGGATCTGTAAAGATGTGGGTCTAGGAATTTTGGGATGCACGGGTTTGGAGATTTGGGATTCAGGATCCGGGCTTGATCTCTAGGATTCAGGGATTAGAGATTAGGGATTGAGGCCTAGTCATTTGGGTGTATGGATTTAGGGTTTAAGGGTGAGGGTTTAGGGACTTGGGTTTAGGGTCTTGGGATGGGACTGGGGGGTTTAACCCTAAACCCTTGGGTCCCTGAGTTATGGTTTAGGCTTAGGGCCTTAATTCTGGGCTCTTGTGAAGTGTTTGTCTTTGAGTACGGCGTACTAGCGCCAAGGTTTAGGGCTCAAGGTTTGGGGTTTTAGGGTTTAGGTTTTAGGGTAGGTTGCGAGGAGTGATACCTGCATGGAATATCTTGATCATCAAGAAGTCAAGATTGCAGCAGTAGCGGCGGTCAAGGTGAAATCCCGCAGAGCTTGATAGGTTCAAGGGACCCGCAACTCGGAGAACCAAAGCCTTCAAGGGGAAGATCCCCTAAATCAGCCTTAGAATTGCAGGATTTGAAACTTGGGGGTTCGAGTTTTCCGGTGTTTCAGGTTTACAGGGCTATACCCTCCCGAACTAACATGGAACCTCAAAAGAGCCCTATACTTTCAAAGGAGGTGTATATAGGTCTTCCTGCTAATTACAGGGATGGTACATCCTGACCTATGAAGAGGGCCTAAAGAATTTACATCATGGCAGAATTCTTGACCATAAGAGATGCAAGTGCCAGACCCTCAAGCTTTCCCCCAAACAAGTGTTGTAGTGGCTGCTCCTAACTCCCCCCCATCCCTGGAATCCCTAGAAACCTATCAAACCCCGCTTAAAGCCCCTGAACGCCACTCACCCCGACAAACCCCCTGAACCCTGAAACCTATATCCGGAACCCTAAGAGGCCAAAAGAAAGACTCTGAAAGCCCTTACCTCGAAGAACTTTGGCATGTCCTTGGTTCAGCAAAGTCATGCCAACTCAAACAACAGTGTAACCTAGGACCCGAAAGGTTAGTGATAGGGTTTAGGGTTTAACTTGGTGGTGGATCCTGCCAGATGCATATAGCGATAATAAAGGCACGAGGGAATGCTATTGATGATTACTAAGGATTAGATCAGAAGTGTCAAGGATATATCATACTGCAATTATAGAAAGATTATACGGGGGCACGATTTGCAATTATTCAGGAACCTACAGCAGGGCACGTGGGAATGAAAAAACATCAAGGCAAGTTGGGCGCTTTGTAGCGGCAAGTAGGCTGTAATGTGCTAGGTTTAGGGTTTAGGGCTTAGGGCACCAAACCCGAAACCCTAAACCCTGAGCCTGAACACGGCTGATGCAGAGGCCTGTTTGATGAGAGTAGGGCTTGGAGTGGCTTAATATGCCCCAAACCGCCTAAACACTGAACCCTCGACCCTAAAGCTTATTAAGGAATTCAAAGGGGTCTGTATTGGGAATTAACCAAGATTCAGCAAGACTCCACAGTACACGTCCGAATCGCAACTTGCAACTTCCGAGTCGCAAGCTGCAATGAACACCACAAAATTCCAGATAAAGACGACATCAATTCCTAATTTGAAAATGCTTCTGGTGATAAAATCCCTTGCTCCTTACTATGGGAGGTGCCATGCGAAAACTGGACGTTGGGGAAACCTTCAAAATTTGACATTTGTTAGGCATCCTAAGGCACGTCTCACCTTGCTGCCAGTCATCTGTGTACTGGACTCCACTCAGAATATCATTGTAATGGTGGAGTCAACACAGAGACTTCGCCCTACACCCTAAACCCTGAACACTAAGCCCTAAACCCTAACTGAACTATCAAACAGCAAGACCTGGAAATACAGTGCGTCAGGTTTGGGTTTAGGGTCTAGGCTGTTCAGGCCCTTAAGGAACCCCCAACAACGATAACAGTTGCCATTTTCTCCACCCGTTGACTCCACACCAACAACCAACCTGAACCAAGGGACCTTAAACCTTAAACTCTAAACCCTAAGCCTAAACAGCACAGTAGTTTCTATTGTCTCTTCCACTCCCCTATGAACTCATGAAAATAATCTGGTAGTTTTCATGTTCTACTCAATTCCCCTACGTGCGTCTTGGCACCCTCAGGCGCAGCTGAGACCCATAACCCAGGTTTCCATGTCGTTTTCCATCTTTTTCATTCTTGGGGTAATGTCTCGAAACCCTAATCGCTAAAACGTAGCTTCCATTTTCTTTTCCATTGCCCGTATGTATGTAACCCATTCTAACCCTGCATACCCAAGTTGGAGCATTATCCCCCTAAACCCCAGAATTCTAGACCCAAAAGCCTTCTTTTGCCCTAAGCTAGACCAAGGGTCGATGTCCGTGGTCGCTCCGGATTCGTCTTTCATCTCGCATGCCCGGAATTCTTGGTTGCGCCACAATTCTGGTGTCAGGTTTAAGTAAGGTTTAGGGTTTCGGGCTCTACTGCAACCCCTTTAGCCCTGTAATATAACCTTTGTGTTAACAGCTCCTTAGAATTATATGATAAAGAAACGAACAAAACCCTAAGGGGATAGGAGCTCAGGGAAGTTAGCTATGCGGAGACAAAGAACTGTGTATAAAGTACGAGCGCACTTTTGAGTTTGGGGCTGGAATAATGTTCCTAAAGAAGATCCTAATCCTACGTTCTATACTTCTGCAGAATTACTATGAGTTAAATATTCGGGTCAAGGATATGTGATATGTGTTTGGGGTTGAAGGTTTAGGCCTAGGATTTAAGCTTGCGGGTTTATTCTGGAGGTTGTCATAGAGTAGAAGCACGCCTTGCGGCCTTGTGGGCCCAAATGCAGTCATGTTTTCTGGACGTAGGGTAGGGTTTTCTCAGTCCCACTGCATCGCTTCCAAACTGTGAGGACCCCAGTAATGAAAATTGAGCCCCGGGGCATGGCCGTGATTAACCCAAGTGACCACCGTTTGGACCAATGGATTTGGGGGTTTCCCAAAATTAGTGGTCCTTTTAATAAAGATGAAAATCTTTTTGGATCCATATTGGCAACATGTGCGCAACGTGATCCGCCACAAGCCATCACAGCCTGCCACTCCTCTGATCGTGCATCGTCCGGCTGGACAACTTCAGATACTGTCCGTTCCATAAACAAGCTCGCCGGCTGGAACCACCAAATTTTCTGGATTATTAGAAAAGTAATTTGCCAACATGGGGAGGGTGGTGAAGTGGTCTGGATGCTCGGACAACCCTTTGGAGGCAATCACCCGGGGCACTTCTCGGAAGCACGCGGCATGTCAGCCAAAGTACTTGGGGCGAAGCTATGCGGCTACTTGTGCACGTGCTAACAAGCCACTGATCAGATCTTGATCCGTGTGCAAGAACAAAAGGAGGTCACATGCTATCAGCAATCACTTTCTCAAGATTTTGAAGAACAGCTTTTTCTTTGCATCGCTTCGGGCTGATGTTATAAAAGGCTTACCGGTAGTATGGTTGGTTACAGGGGTTGAAGGTGTAAGGTTATAAGGGATTTCGGAATCGATGCGATTCTGGGTTGTTTCCAGTTCAGGGCTTGGTGTTCTGGGCCTTGCCTATGCTGCGCTAGATGAAGTTTGACTTCCAGGTCGCAACCACGGTGCTACCATCTAAGGAGTATACCCTACATGATACGAGGACCCCTGGAACGATTTAAGATATGTAATTTAATCCCTCAACCCTGAACCCTAAAGCTTAATGCATTCTCCTTCATGAAGGGGTGTTAGCCTCCCTGCACACAGTCGCACATGCAATCAAAAGACTCTCCAACAGCATTCCAAACCTGCAATGCGGTTGAGGGTAGGATTGGCTTGGGTTTCGAGACTAGGGTTTAGGCCTTAGAGATTAGGGTTTAGGGCTTGGGGTTTAGGTTTTGGGGATGAGGCCTTAGGGGTCTAGTTGCTAGCTGTCCTGCCTAAGCGAAATGCAGGGCCTCAGAAACTCAAGAACTACAACAGGGTTTTGTTACTATTACATGTACATTCTGTAGGCCTTCATATTCTATAGGCATTACAAAGGCACAACATTGACAAGTACTCAGGCTTCTACTGCATAGGCTTCAAGAGTACCAAGCCCAAACCTCAACCCTGAATTGGGGCTGTTACAGGGGCTAATCACGAGCAAGCGCTGGCATCAAGAACGATACGACAACAATCGTCGTGGTGTCCAAAATACGCTAAACCTATAGCCCCCCTTAAGTAGATAGAATGGTATATGGGGATCTGATTATAACATACCCAAAGCCATATTCTATGTACTTAAGGAGGACTATAAAGCTTTAAAACGGTGGCTTGCAACAAGTGAGGCGTATCTCTCTGGATTGAGCTGCCAGAGTGGAGCCTCAATTTCCGTAAACTTTAAACTCTACCCGAGGGCTCCCAGGTAGCTCCTTTTGGATTTGTTATGATTGTTTTGGCTAAGGGGCAGAAAAATGTGCTAGCCACGGAGGCTCAGAGTGTGACACCTTCAGACGGGTTTCAGGTTTACTGGGTTGCTGTTAAGGAACTTAATTTAAGTTACTATATTGGGGGAACCCTATTTATTTACTATATATACCCATTCTGGTAATTTACTTTAAGTTCCTTAGCAGGGCTTGGAATTCCGTACCTTGCAGGTTGCAAGCCTCAAGGCACGCTCAATTCTCAGGCCCCAAACACTTCGGATTTGGAAAATAGGATTTGGGGCCTGTGGTTTGGGGTTTTGGGGTGTCTAAACCCCTGAACCGCAGGTGGAGCAAAAAACAAAGTGCGACAAGGAGCCGTGTCTCGTGGACGACGGGCTTGACTTCCTCCTGTGTAGCATACTCCCTCACAGCTCTAGGCTTTGTTAAAGGCGTAAGGCTGAGGGTTGCTGGGATCCCCCAACTACCCTTCAAAAGGGTCTATCTCAATGTAGATCCTGTTCGTGGGTATTGGGGCTCTATAGAGGGTACTTAGGACGTCTAGGAACTCTTGCAGAAGCTTCCTAACGGCTACCATGCACATCCCAGATTCTGTAATACTTTGGAAAATGCTGCGGTCGGTGCGTAGTTGAAGTCTCCGCTTACAAGGACTTAAGGTTCTTGGTTTGGGGTGTAGGGCACGCAGTTTCGGACCTGCATCATGCGCCTAGGCCTTACGCCCAATATGCTCATCCCCAAACCTGAATCACGGGACTTTCAACAGGACACTTCCCAAAAGCCCAGGCACCTTACAAACCCAAATGCATGTATGGTAGCTGTTGTAGGCAAGCGTCAGCTGCTATCTAGTCATAATATGGATTTTCCACGACCTAGCCTAAGCCGTCCTAACCCCGGTAAATCCTGGCTCCAAAGCCTAATGCCTACGCCTTAATTACCAAGGCCTGCATAACCCTTCAACTCTAATCCCCAAGTTACTACCATAAAAACGTGGGCTACGCTAATCCAGAGGAATAAGTAGGACATTGAACCATCATGTAGGCTACTTGCCCAGTTCCTGATGAGCCATCAACCTGACTAAGCCCGGTAAGCCAAGACCCAAAAGCCTCAGACCAAAACTGTGAACCCTAAGACCTGAACTTCAAGCCCTAAATCCCAAACCCCAAATCCTGAATCCTGAACCGCAGCCCCCAAGCCCACAGACCTAATCTCTAAACCTTAAATAGTAATTTCAATTTTCTTGTCCATTATCCCTATTTAACCCCTATATAACCCCTGCATACCGCCTAAACCCTGTAAACCCTATAAACCCTAAACCCTGAACCCTAAACCCTGAACCGTAAACCTTAAACCCTGAACCCTGAACCCTAAACCTTAAACCCTGAACCCTGAACCGTAAACCTCAAACCCTAAACTTTGAACCCCTAAACCCCAGACCTTAGAGCATCCTCTACGGCCGGAGCAGCAGGTGCTTCCACTTCGGCTGGTGCGGAAGTGGTCGCATCTCCAGCTGCCGCATCAACCTCCTGGGTATATTGGATTTATGGGGCTTCTAGGGTATATTGGGGTTTAAGGTTTAGGGTTTGGGGTTTAGGGTTTTGGGTTTAAGGTTTTGGGTTTAGGGTTTTAGGGTTTATGGGGTTGATGGGGTTTTGGGGGTCAAAAGGGTTTAGGGTTTATATAGGGTGTATAGGGTTTATAGGGTTTGTAGGGTTTGTAGGGTTTATAGGGTTTGTAGGGTTTATAGGGTTTAGGATTTAGGGGACCTCCACCCAGTAGTAGTGACTATGATGGATAGTAGTCATCAAAACCAGGTCCACTCATATTCCTAATTATGCTACTATTACAGGGTGGAGGGGGGTCCAATCACTTCCCTCGAATGAAACCCCAAACGCTCCCAATGATGAGCATTGCACGTTGTATTTAGACCGTGGCATAAAACTTACAAAGATTCTGGGAATTCTATAACTATAATGGGTATATTATAATGATTATGTAATGTTCCTACATGGTAACTCCCCAACAGCTTGCATGATATCCTGCAAGAGTTTCCGGCTTTTACAAAAGCCGTGCGCTTCCAATACAAGGCCCTAAAATTTAGGCTTTAGAATTTCCAGCTGAGGGCTCCAGAATCAGGAGTTTAGGGTTGACGGTTTAAAGTTTAGGGTCGGGCCCTGAGCCCTTCACTCCTGCGCCCCTGCACGCCTGAACCCCTACACCTCAAGCCCTGCACCCTAAAGCCTGCTGAACAATGCTCAGCTTCTGCAACTGCAGCATCCTCTTCCCTAACCTGGCATTCCCGAGGCCATCAGAATACATCCCCCTTAGGGCTTAGGATTTCGGAGTCCCTTGATCTATGAAATCATTCCTAACAGGACTTCTACATGATTAAGAGACGAGGCGGTAGGAACTTCTGGGGTGAAGAGACTAGGGTTTGGGGTGATTCACTCAGGATTCAACCCGCCGGCATCTAACAACTTCTCAACCCCATGATTTGAGACTGCTTAGCCTTAAGATGTCTGCTTCCCACCATGAAAGTTCACTGGGGTTTAAGGTTTTTTGCTATGGCCGTGCGCGC